GCTCGTTCAGCCACGCCGGCTGTGGCTAGGATGACCTCCCACCGCCGGTGAGCTGCAGCAGCGAAGGTGAGTCGTCTCCCTGGACGCTGATGCTGATGCTGATGCTGCTGCTGCTGCTGTTGTTGCTGATGTTCAGGTACAATTCACTGCACACTACAGAAGCTGCCTCCAGGCCATGAAAACAGGCTGAAACTGGTGTTGGGATATGACCTCATCTGTTCAGTCTAAGTTGTGTGGATGCAGTCTGTAGAAAAAATGAACTCTCACCAGGGATTGGTTCATGGAGTCATCCATGACCGTCCAAGGCAGCTGGTTCTGTAAAAAAAAGATGCATCATTCCACTGTGAAGGAAGGAGATGAGAAAACTTTATAATAAAATAAATTTAATAAGTTACAAAATGATTTTGTAATAAAACAAGGTTAATTAAGAAATTTATGTAGATTGTTGTAATTTATGTTGTTGTTTGTTTGTCCAGTGGACAAACAACAACAGTAAATACATAAATAAAAGGGTGAAAACATTTTTTTCAGTAAATACAATTAATCAACAACAATTTCCAATAAACACATTTATTTTTTAAATTTAAAATATTTTTATTTGAAGATCTGCATTAACTCTCTACTAAACTTTCGATGTTTGCTCAATGGCAGGACTTGAACCATCACGTGAGCGGCTGGATCGACTGGAACCTGGCCCTAGACCAGACCGGTGGGCCGAATTGGGTCAAAAACTTTGTGGACAGCCCCGTCATTGTGGACAAACATCGTGACGTCTTCTACAAGCAGCCCACTTTCTACAGCATGGCCCATTTCAGGTATCGGCCAATCACAGTTCACGTTACTTCTGTGTTTCTTCTACTCACAAAACAAGGGTTTAACAGAAACTCTTGGCTTTTTTTATTTTTTTTTATAGCAAGTTCCTGTGGGAGGGGTCTCAGAGAGTGGGGGTCTCTGCCAGTCAGGACACAGAGCTGAAGTACACTGCCTTTGTTCGGCCAGATAACTCAGTGATTCTCATCATTCTTAACAGGTACAGTATGTTATAGACCAGTAGTGGGCAAACCTTTGGCTCACGGGCCAAAATGAGGTCCAAAATTTTACCGTTGAGCTGGCTCCGGGTTGGTTGGATGGATGTAGGATTCGAGGCGAAATAATATGAATAAAATGCACAACAATAAAACTTGCTAAACTTTCAAAGATAATTTGTCTTATTTGATGTCTGCTCCCATCTAGTGGCATCAACAGAAATTACAGTTGATTCGTTGTAATGCCTGAAACATTGACTTAAGTCTTTACCATACCATTTACCAGTGTTTGGTGGACCGGATCAAAAGCCCCAGTGGGCTGTATCTGGCCCACGGGCCGTAGTTTGGTCAGGTCTGTTATAGAATCTCCTCCTTCACCTACAGGGGGTACTATTAGGCTAAGTACCAGGATTTATTTTGAAGGTGTACAGCAGTATATGTGGTCTTGTACATATGTAAATATCCATAGTACTACACAGTACTAAAGCTTGTGTGTACTTTGTGCTGAAGGTCGTCAGCAGAGGTGCCGTTCGAAGTCTGGGATCCAGAGGTGGGCCACATCACCTCCACCGCTCCAGCTCGGTCTTTCCTTACACTTGGGTGGAACACGGACTGAGTTCAGGTACAAAGTGGTTTCAATCCACGGGCCGCTTCATAAAACTGCATTTCAGGGAGTTTTTGTTTTTTTATCGTTTTACTTCGACCACTGTATTTACCTAAACTAATTTTTCAGTTAAATTATTGTTTTATTTAAGTTTTTTTTTTGTGCCCAGAATCCTGTCAGACATTTCCAGGGTTTTTATTATGGATGGATTATTCATTAAAAATTGTAATGAATAATAATGATTTACTGTGAGTAAATGATTAGTTGTGATTAATCAAAAAATAAACAACATTCCTAAATGACAAAAAAATAAATATACTCTATATATTGTTCCAACAAATATATACAACAGCATGTAGATACCTGTGTTTGTATTTATAACTAATCTAAATGATGGAATTATTAATATGGAACGGAGGCGGGTCTTCCCATCAGGGCGGCTAATCTAAATGATGGAATTATTAATATGAACGGAGGCGGGTCTTCCCATCGGGCGGACATGTTGTTAAATTTGTTTACACTGGAAAAACTTAATACCTGCATTAATAAGTATTCTAAGTTTATATATGGAAATACGTATATTTATAACACTAAAGTATTCTAAGTTTATATATGGAAATATATTTATAACACTTCCATTATTTCACATTTATTACGCTCAATTCTACTCACTGTGGTTCTCAATCTATGGTACATGTATCACTGGTGGTACATTCTTCATCATACATCAATTCAGTGCGGCTTTTGCTGCTAAATTACCCGGTTACTGTATCGGTGTTAAACTAGCTAACTTTTCTTGTACTGTGTTTAGCATGGCAGCACATGTTGGTCATTCTGCTGATACTTGAAAAAAACATATTTACTGAAACATCACATTAAAATGGAAAAGTACGAAAATAAACAAAACCAAACGTAGAACATTTTTCTGTCATTTATTAATACCTCATAGTCACTTTTCTCCCATATATAATGTACAGTTTTGTTAACCAGCTATTTCACATTCAGGTCTCCATTCTCTTTGTTTTTTTTCCTTTGCAAACTGTAAGTAGTTGGACATAAATTATTTACATAAAAAAGTGATAAAAATGTGAAAGAAAAGATGGTCATATTTCAGTGGAATAAAATGGCATAAGGATGTTGTCTTTTTATAATATATACACCAGAAGGAATATGTAAAAAAATGTAGGAAAAAAGAAAAAAAGTACGAGTTCCAAACAAACGTGACAGGAATCGATGGCTTAAAGGTGACGTCAGTAGGAAAGAAAAATCACAGATGCTAATAAACAAATGAACGTCGGTTCAACGTAGCACTGTCCTAACACGAACTGAAGACAGTCACCGCTTACATCATCGTCCTGTGCTTAACCTGCTAAAATGTGTCAAAAAAGCAGGAGGGGGCGAGGGGAGGAGGAGACGGGAGGAGGGGTCGACTAATGGCGTCTGACGGCAGACACTCGTCACGATTCCTTCCGCTCTGTTGTGTCTTACAGAGGACCGACATCGTGACATTAACACCCTTATATAATGTCGTCCTAAGAAGCTGAATAAAAAGAAGCAGGTGGTTATGATCTGGTTCATGATCTCGGTTAGAAACGGAACAGTTATTGCAGGACAGCAGGCGTCCGTGTTTTTGGGCCCAGCCTCCGTGGGCGCCGTTTGTGAACGTGAACCCTCACACGTTCCCCCACCGCCGCACGAGGCTCAGCTGCAGGGCTTCAGGATCCTCAGGGCGAGGGAATGGTTCTACCACAAAGTTTAGCGCTTTCCCACATCCACGACTTGCATCAGTGCATTTCAGAAGGGATTCAATTTGCTTGTTGCAGAAGTCGAGGACACAGCCTCGACTATGAGACCGTGATCTAGCAGACCCCCGAAGGGCTTAAGACATCTGTTTGAGGATGGGGGGTTTGGTGTACATAGGTGAGGACACAGACGTTGGAAATGAGGAGAGAAAGAAAGAGTACAAATAGAAAAAAAAAGATTGAGGTGATATTGACTGCAGGAGATAAACAGAAGGAAGCAGAAGAGTGTTGTTTTTTTTTTGTCTTCTCTGTACTCGGCGTTGACTGTAGGTAGAGAGAAGTGGTGGATGGAACAGGTGGGTGTCTCAGAAGGACCATCTGTCCTGTGTGCGAGGGTCCATGGAGAGAGTGGGGGACTCTGATGGGGGCTGGCTGCTGCTGTCTTCTCCGTTCAAGCTCTTCCTACACACTGGACATGTGTCATGCTGTGTGGCCACAGAACATGAATAGAAACATTAGCTGGAGGCAGTGTTCCCAACGGGAGGATGGATTTGTTCTAGTTCTAAAAGTCTTTGTTTACACATGTCAAACCGATCAGACATCAGTAAATACTTAACTCTTTTAATCTGCAATAAACAAACCTGGTTAATTAACTGCAGTCTAAGTTTTCTTTTTTTACAGATAAAACGTAACTAAACTGAAACCGACTTCATCAGTGTTACCTAATGAATTGCGCACTTAAACCTTATAAGGTACCGATCAGACATCAGTAAATACTTAACTCTTTTAATCTGCAATAAACAAACCTGGTTAATTAACTGCAGTCTAAGTTTTCTTTTTTTACAGATAAAACGTAACTAAAAACGTAAACTCACTTCTCTGTTGAAGTCGGTGTCATTTTGAAACTAACATGACGCTGCTGTGAAGCCATATTCGTTATAGAAACGTGACGTTACAGTGACATCATAACAGAGTCACAGTCGTTTCATTAACGTTGTCTGACACAGACTGTACTTTACCTATTACCAAACTGAAACCGACTTCATCAGTGATACCCAATGAGTTGAGCACTTAAACCTTATAAGGTGTAAACTTACAAACTGTAATGACCTCATATGGTGTTTATTGATAAATAGAGCGCCACCTAGTGGGATGTTGCTTGTAGGTTGTTAATGAAGTAACGTAGCGATAGTGTGAGTACGAAGGGTTAGACAATCATACAAGAAATTACACACTTGAAAATGACGTTAAAAAAAATGCAGTATTCTACTTTGTCAAAACTTTGTCGGCAGTCGTGATGTAGCATTACCAGAAAAGACTGCATTAGACGTAGCTGATCATATTGAACTGCTCCCACTCAGCACCGCCTCCAATTAGGTATTAATAGTATAATTAAACCAAATGGGGGTCAAACCAAAAATAATCTGCTCCAGGATTCTGTGTGACGCGTATGAACGGATGGACCTATTTAGGGCCTCATTATGAGACAACCTTATGTTTGTTTCTCTGTGGCTTCACTCTGCAGACGGAGCTGTAAATGATCGCATCCAAACAGAACAACAGTAACAAGTAACAAAAGTCATTCCTACGCAATCGCTTTGAACCCGGTTACTTGGTGACTCACCATTTCCAGCCATGGCACTATGCAGTCTGAATGAAAGAAGTGGTTACAGGGTAACTGCCTGACGGGCTCCCCCACCGAGAAGTCCTCTTTGCACACTGGACATTCCATACAGCAGTCTGAGACAGAGGACAGAGACACGTACGTGTTACAGGACTGAAGAACAGGGTTTAGATCTCAGTACGACGGGAAAGAG